TATTCTTATTTATTTATCTATCAGACTTGTACCCCGCCCTCCCCGCAAAGCAGGCTCAGGGCGGCTTGAACTTGTATGCAAGGGAGAAAAACAAAATTTGCACACTTCAAGAATAGCAACTAGAAGATTGGGGTTGGACTAGATGACCCTGGAGGCCCCTTCCAATTCTATGATTATTATTTAATAAATCTGGGTAACACTGCCTTTTTAAAGTCTGTCCATACTTTGCATAATTGTAAACCCTGAGTGATTTAAAATTCTAACACACTGAATACTTTACAAACGGTCATTAAAATGATTCTGCACCACAGCCGTGAATGAAAGCTTATTACAGAACAGTTATATCGGCACTATGGCAAAATGAGCTAACTAAATGCCCAACATAAGGAAGCCATGAAACCTGCAGCAACTGTGTATTTCAATCTACTTTTTGGTACAATTCTATTAAAAAACAGAAATGCATATCACTCCAGTTTGGCCCCAACTTGCAAGACACTGCAATTCAGAATTGTCTGCTATAGCCCAAAGATCCTCACATGCAGCAGCAGACAGCATGGACCTACTAAATTAATGTTTGGTGCTGTCAGCCAACAGCACTGATCTCCTATGGAGAGCCTGGATTCAGCCCACTTATGACCCCCACCCCCATGATTGTTCATGATCACAGTAATTATCCTGTCCCATCTGTCAATTTGACTATTTCAAAGTTTTTCTTTAATTTCCAAAAAACACCCAACATTACCTAAGTTACTGCTTTGGATTTAATTATGCATGGAAAACTCTAAACTCACAGTGCCCCTTTAAAAATCTGTTTTTATTTCAGTTTGTTAAGGGCTGGAATATTGATTAAATAACTGTTCTAACCTTTTCATGGTTACTTAGCTAGTTGTGATTCCATATATCACAAAGTTAGTCCTTCATAAAGAAAATATACACACAATTTCAGCATGGCGTCTTCCAATAATAAACTGGATAAATGCTTTCTCATTTTGATTATTTCTGAAATTTCAAATAAGTTGTGAGCTGAAAGAATTTTCACTGGTTAAATGAGGCAGTGACAGTTTTGACAGGACTAAAGATGTGAACTCCGAGGAAAAAACTGCAATCTTTCAGGGGGGAAAATTGCCTTTTTCATTTATCCCCCCCCCCGGACTTTTTTCTTCATTTTTTTCTGATGGGAAGAAACTGGGAAATTTGGAGAGTACTGACTTTTTTTGGAATGGGTGAAATTATTTTAAAGCAAGGTCTTAATAACTAAAATATACAGAATGAATGCTTAATGTAAAACAACATACAGTATTAGATTATGAAAAGTACTAGGTATACTGGATACATATATAACATATTTTAAAGATGTTTGTTGTTTAAATGCAAATAATTCTGGCAGCAATTGATAAGCTATAAAGTGTTTGACAACTATTAAACAATGTTTTCAATATTATGTTAGATCTGTCGGCCGTGTTTGACACAGTCAACCACCAGCTACTAGTCCACCGCCTCGCCGACGTGGGGATTAGGGAGCTCACCTTGCAATGGTTTGCCTCCTTTCAAGGTCGGGGACAAAGGGTGGCGCTAGGGGAACAGCAGTCCAGGAGGCACCTGCTTGAGTGTGGTGTGCCTCAGGGGGCTGTGCTGTCCCCGATGTTATATAACATCTACATGTTCCCCTTTCCCAGATTGCCTGGAGGTATGGGCTGGGATGTCACCAGTATGTTGATGACACCCAGCTCTATCTGATGTTAGGCAGCCAGTCGAACTCAGAACCAGATGATCTGGATGGCGCTTTGCAGGCAGTGGCTGGGTGGCTCAGGCTGAGTCGGCTGAAGCTGAATCCAGCAAAGATGGAGGTCCTGTGCCTGGGTCGGGGCGGTTCGGGGGTGGAGATCCCACTCCCAACCTCTGGGGGGCCTCACTGGTCCCAGCGCCAAAGGTTCGGAGTTTGGTAGTGCTCCTGGATTCCTCCCTTACCATGGAGGGCCAGGTAGCCACCACTGCCAAGTCGGCCTTCTATCATCTGAGGCTGATTAGGCAGTTGGTTCCCTTCCTTGACTGTGCTGACCTGGCTACAGAGATCAATGTGATGGTCACCTCGAGACTAGACTACTGTAACGCTCTCTAAATGGGGCTGCCTTTGTTGCAGATCCGGAAGCTGCAGCTAGTGTAGAATGCCGCGGCCAGGCTGTTGATAGGTTTTAGATGGGAGCACATCCAGCCTGTGCTGAGGACACTGCACTGGCTGCCAATAGTATACCGAATCCGCTTCAAAGTGCTGGTTCTTACCTTTAAAGCCTTATATGGCCAGGGTCCAACATACCTACAGGACCGCCTTTCCCCATATATACCCCAGAGAGTACTACAGTCTCGGTCTCAAAATCGGTTGACTCTCCCTGGCCCAAGGGAGGCCAGGCTAGCTGCTACTAGGGCCGGGGCCTTCTCGGTAGCGGCCCCTACCTGGTGGAACAAGCTCCCGGACGAGATCATGGCCCTGCAGGACCTCTCACAGTTCTGCAGGGCCTGCAAGACAGAGCTCTTCCACCAGGCATATAACTAGGGGCCGCCGCCTTAGTGCATGGACCATAATGTTGACATCAGCAGCTGCCTCAAGAATGAGCAAATAACATCCAAACACTTATGTGGAATAACATCGAAGCACTTTCATCTGAAAACATCTCATTTGTTTATTTTTAACTGCCGCCAGTACTTTGTAACATCTGTAATGCACTATTTTAATTGTTGTGTTTTAATTCTGTACTATTTATGTTTTTATTCTGTATTGTATTGTTGTTGGAAGCCGCCCTGAGCCTGCTTTGCGGGGAGGGCAGGGTATAAATTTGACTATAAATAAAATAAATAAATATTTTAAACTCGTTATTCACTTTTTCTTCATATTTATTATGACTGTATAGACTCTTTCTTTTAAAATAATACACTATTTTACTGCAAAATTCTATATGTTCAATTTTTATTTTTCCTACCTCTTAGATGGCAAAAAATAAGATACATGTGCTAAGATAGCATAGGACACAGAAGTCTGCAGCTCTCTCAAGTATATGTACACTGCCACTTTTGCTTGTAGAAAGATAAGGCATGTATACTTTTAACTTCTATAAATATGCCTAGTACTTCAATTTCATATGACATAAATTATGCAGTTTATGTTGTCAAGGCAATAAAACATGTTTAGGTTTGATAAGGTATTGTATAAATTTCATTTTTTTACCCTAAAAATAGAAAAAAATACCTACTACCTCCATAACTACTGGAAATTTTACAGCTCTAGAAAGTATGAATTTCTTTTAAAGACTCTTGGCAAGATTACTTTGGGTAATTTTGGCCACTAATATTAACTTAGATACAGAAGTGGCAATAAAACCAGTGTGTTTTGTTGAACAATACCCAGGGTCATGTACCACACAAAGTTTTTTCCATTTAAACAAACTCATAAGATATTAGAGGTGAGTGAGAACAGGAATTGTGGTCCCTCCATCTACTGTCCATTTGTGAAAATGTTGGTATAACAGACATCCCTAGGGTGTCTATACCCATTATTCTGGCAAGGATGCATACTTCTCAAAATAGATTGAGGGCAAAAAGTGAAGTTATATTGTTCATAAATCATGAGAGAAACGCGAATAGTATGGCATGTTCTTCTGTATAATCCTACAGGTTTATTGAATACTTGTTGCCTTTGTTCATGGAAACACTGTGGTTCACTGGAGCAGTCAGAATGAAACAACTTGGTTATAACTACTGAAGAATATTCATTAATGAATTTTACTTTAAAAAATTGCTGTCATTTACTTCCAAGTAGAAGACTCTGAAACATGTCACTAGCACCACATGTCCCCTGCATAGCAGAGAATTTGGTGTGTGCAGAATCTCCTCCTGGGAATCTCTGCCTTCGTTGTTGTAGAAGTTCATAACTTTAAAAATCTACTTCATAAGTATGCTTGAAAACAGAAGTGTAATCTTGGTGGACTTCAAAAAATAGAAACAGTCAAACAGGATTTCAAGTCATTAGCAGGTGAATGCTTCAGTGCTTTGTACAACTTACTACCTTATCCCAAAATAAGTTATGCAAATTAGTATGTTTGCTTATTTTGCCTGATTACTCAAACAGAAAACCATCGTAGCCAGAAAACCTGGAAAGCAGGATATTTAGACCAATAGGTTTTTGTTGTTGTTTTGTCATGGCCAACTTATGGCAACCCCATAGGGTTTTCAAGGCAAGAGATGGTCAGAGGTGGTTTGCCATTGCCTGCCTCTACCCAGCAATCATAATTTTCCTTGGTGCTCTCCCATCCAAGGGCTGGCCTTGCTTTGCTTCTGAAATCTGACAAGACTAGACAAGCCTGGGTTATCCAGGTCAGGGCAGAACAGTGGGAATACATTTATGTACAAAATATGGTAAAGGTAAAGTAAAGGTTCCCTTGCTCAAAAGCCAGTCGAATCCGACAATTCTATTAATAAAGCTAAATTGTCTGATGCTTAGTGTTAAGGATAAAACTAGTAGCATAAAAATCAGTAATTTAATAACAGAATATACAATGCTTTATAGTAAAACCATCTTTGCTGGAAAATTTAGAAGGCAGCAGGATATTTAGAACAACAGTGGGAATACATTTACTTATAGAATATGGACAGTTCCATTGATAAATCTAAATTGTCAGAGGCTGCTTAATGTTAATGGATAAAACTAGTAAAATTAAAAAACAGTAATTTAACAAAGCATAGCTGAAAAACTAGATTCAATTTTTCACATTTGGGCACAATTTTAGGCACTGTGATTTAAAATCCCATAAGCTTCCCCTATGTTAGCCAATACTCGCAATACAAAAACTATCAAGACTGTAAAGCTAGGCATACACAGTCAATATATGCACATATATACATAGTATACATACACACATAAGACCAATATACTATAAGCTCCGTTTTACAGTAAAGCTTCATAAGTAGTGAGGATCTGTATAAGCATAAGTTTCATGTTGAAGTGCAAGCTACCATTGTTCCCAGCTAAAATCATCTCCTCTGCCAAATAGAAGGAAAAAGCCTAAAACGGTAAGTAAAATTACTGCATTTCCAGCTAGCACAAGGCCACAAGCTCCCCACTGGATCACTTTAACTCATGCAAGGATGATAGGCAATCCAAAGGCAGAAACCACAATTCCAGTTGTGACCTCACAAGAATTACTTCTAAGCAAAGAAGAATCACAGTCCTTGATTACATCAGAGTACACAGGACTTTCCCTTTAATTTTAAATTATATCAAGGATTCAAGGGGAGGAGAAGAAGAGTCTTGAGAAGTCTCAATTGCCTTGCCTTCCTCTCCCCACAACAGGCACTTTGTGAGGTTAAGTGGGGCTGAGAGAGTTTTGAGAGAACTGTGACTGGCCCGAGGTCACCCAGCAGGCTTCATTCAGAAGAGTGAAGAATGAAGCCCGTTTCTCCAGATTAGAATCCAAGTATCTGAAGATTTATTATGAAAATCCTGCTAGTAACTTCAAAGGAATAGGCAGTTGTGTTCTTTGAACTCCAGGTGTATTCCTCCCTTGTTAAAGTTTTTGCCAATTTCGGTCAAGTTGACCTGGCGCAATTAGCCAGCCAGGTGAAAAGTTTAAAGCAGTTTTTTGCTTTATGGAAAGCAGCTCTGATTGAGAGACCCAGATCATGTGCATTCTCTAAGATATTGTTTTCCTGAGTACCATAGAGCAACTCTGAATGTCTATATAGCTGACAATGAAAGCCTATAGCTGAGATGCAGTGGTTTCTGAGTTTTAGTACATAAGGGAAACCCAGGCTATGTTATTCTTTAAGCTAGGGATGTTGAATCATAGAGAAGAAAAGACTCTGCATTTTTAAGTGCAATAGCAGAAAGCTTTGTTTAATGAATTGAATGTCAGCAGTTTATTGGCAAAACACCTGCAATAATTCCTAATTAAAAGGTGACATCACAACATCTGCTAATAAATCTTAAATACTCCCTTTTTCGTTAAAACAAGGGTTAGAAAAACATGTAAACTAAAAATGATTGAAATCATTTGGTGGTATACAATACTGTCTAGTGTTCTAGAACATGATGTTAACTCTCCAGGAAAACCCCAGAGGATTTCTCCCAAAGAGCTCTTTAAAACAGCAATAATCAATTTAAAAAAATCATTTGAACGCTTGGCACTTCCTACATTATGATCGAAATCAGACTCATAAATGCCACTATGGAACTCCAGGCACATGTCTGACCCAAAGTCCTTGTGATGGCCAAATGTTCACTATGTAGACGTTGTAACAAATGAATTAGGCCACAGATGGACTTCATGTAATTTGTTGGGGGGGGGGGGGTTTGCTGTCAACTCAAAGCTAATTTATATTGACCCTGTAGGGTTTTCAAAGCAAGAGACGTTCAAAGGTGGTTTTCCATTGCCTGCTCCTGTGTCACAACCCTGGTATTTCTTGGT